GGTATAGAAGGTCTTCATGAATTCGCCGGCGAGTTTTTGCCTTCGTGTACAATATGTCTATCGTTTAGGTAAGCCAACCCCATTTCATACACTATATCAGGGCCAATTACATCTCTCATTTCATTCCCTTTTTCACCAATTCTGAATTGTAATATGTAGCGATTTATTAAAATGAAAAACATAATTTACAATTTTATTTATTTTTCAATACTGGTATATTAATCAATAGTTGGATATATTTCTCTGGTGAAATGATGAACCAAGAAATGAATTATCATATTGAGGAATGTTGTTAATTATCTATATTCAAAAAGCATTAAGATTTGCCATATATTTAGCATCAACTTTAAAATAATTACATATTTGCATTCTTTCTAAAATTCATTTGCTTGATTTTTTAGTTCATCGTATAAAGTTCAAAATAAAGTAATAGATATTCAATATTAATTTTTAAAAGATTATGAATTGCACTCATCATATTCAAAATCAAGTATCAATAATATGTATAGCTCCCCACAAGTGTTCACATCAAAGGAAATTATGCGTTGATTGTTAATACGAACATGAGGCGGAAAAAAAACAAACAGTTTCAACCAAGATGTTTCAGGAAATGGTTGCGTCGAAATTACAAGAATTAAAGCTTAACAATTCATCTGAATAAACAACTCAAAAAAAGAATTTTAAAGAAATGCTTTATTCAACTCAAAATAAGTTACAATAAATTTGGAAGGAGTTATCAGAATCAATAAATCAGATATATGATTTGCTTGAGATGGAAGAAAAATTCTATATGAATTTTATTAAAAACAATGATAATCCTATAGAATTGTCAAATACTGATTTAGAAAAATTAGTGTCAATTATTATTGGAAAAACACCAGATGATAGGAAAGATTTGAAAAAATCTTATTTTAAGCAGTTGGAAATGACAAAGAAGTATTGGAAAGAAACTCAGACTTTTTGTGAAAAGTTCAATACAGAATTGAAAGGGATTATGTAATTCATAAAAAAGAAGGTAAATAATTCTTGGGAAAACATAAAAGAAATAAAATAAATTTATAACCGAAAGGAAGATTTGTATTAGGTATTAACTTAGACAAAGCATTTTGACAGAGCCTACCTGAATGAGGTAATTGAGATGTTGAGAAATGAGAAAATAACGAATTGTTTAGAATTCTTTAAAGGTAAAACTCAATTGAAATTTATTGCTTCTATGATTTAAAATGTTAGCGAAATAGACTTAAATAAGAAGAATTATTCAACTGAGAACTATGATTTAATGAGAAAGGGCTTAATAAAATAAATATCTTATGATGAGTAAATAAAAGAATTTTTGAAATTCCTAGTAAGTCTGACAGCCATTGACGAGAGATTTATATAAAGCGGATCGAACGCACTTAATTTATTAGTAGAAATGAAAGTTGATTTTGGAGAATAAAGCTTTGAGAATATAAGGATTAGAGATACTTCTTTGGTTGGTGGAAATTTTGTAAGATGCAATTTCAATGGATCAGAATTTGATAATGTGGATATAAGTGGAATGAACTTGAATTAAGCTTAATTGTTCAATTGTAAATGGAACAATATTAAAATA